AGATCTAAATATGTCTGTGGCACAATACTGATTGACAGTGGTCGGCTGCTGGTAGAAGAAGGGGCTGTTGGCATTTTGTGACATCCTCTCTGTTGTCAAGTCTCACTCTCGCCGGTTAATGTCTGGTTTGGTACTAGCCGAGTCGGGTGTGTCTCCATGGCAGTGTTGTGGGAATGTGAAAACGTGCGCTCGTTGTGAGTGTGCCGGAGCTGTGGCACACTGTGGCTGTGGTCGACACTCTGATGATGCCACTTTGTGCGTGTGGGATTTTGATCAGATTCTACAAAATTTCTTGTTATATCTGTTCGTTACACGTTGCCTTGTCCAGCTAACGCTTTATTCAATCTTCAGCAACTACTGTTAAAAACACTTGGACCTCAAGGTTTGACCAATGGAATATCGATTCACAGCTCATCGTCTCACCAACTACTACGGTCGTGTTGTTGTTGAACTGTGTTGTTGACGTAAAACTGTTGTTTGGTCAATCAATGCATTCTGCTGCCAATCAAATCACTTATGCTCAGGACTTGTACCACCCCTGAGGTGGTTCCAAGAAACTGTGAAGAATTGTGCAAATAAAGACAAATCTGGCCAGGACTGACTGAGAAAGAACTGGTTTAAGCCACACTACCTGTGGAGTGGAGACAGGCTTTACTGGCTTCCTTTGGTCAGATTTAAAGTAAGTTAAAACACAGCCTGGTGCTGTGGTTTGTTTTCTGACTGGTCCAGAAGCAAAATTTCTGACTGGGTTCTCTAAAGCTATCAGTCTTTTAGTTGTCAGTTAGAGTCCAGCTTCAAACTCTGTCTGGACTAGGTCGACTTTACCCACAATAGATGATCTCACAACATGTCATGTCAAAATTCTCCATTCAGTTTTGATGGGCCCCCAAGTCCATGTGTAACAGATTCAAACACTATTTGTATTTCCATATGGGACATCTCTTCTGACTCAGCAGACCAGGAACGAGCGTAATGTGGAGGATTTTGTAAGACAGGAATGCTTGAAGAAATGCAGTGGTCTATAACAAGCCAATGAGGAAGGGTGAGACAGAATGAAACAATGCCGGTCGAATCAAGTGAAGTTAAAACCAGTGTGAAAGTATTGCTTTGGAGATGATGCTTCTAAACTCACTCCTCAGACTCTGCTAAAGCGAGTTGAGCGGGATTCTTACGAGGGATTATTTTAACTAAGCTACAGGTAGACTAAGGACATTTTTACAACAAAAACATCATTTTTATGACCTCACTCCAAACTCTTTAAATGCACTTACAAACAGTTCCTGCTTGTTTGCAGAAATTTTTAGAATAAAACCTCAGATTTGGTCAGTTCTGTTCAGTCTGTCATCTGTTCATTTTTTTAATTATTATTTTTATGTTTTATTATTATCAAAGGAAAACCCTCACTCAGCTGCAATCCCATACAAAATAGTGAGAGCTTGTGACTGTGATGTCACTACCCATTTCTGGGTGTGATTGTTTTGCTTCGAGAGCTCACTCCAGATGATAGCTAATCAGCTGGATTCAGCTTCACATTGTTCTGTTGAACATATCCAGGATTGGAAGACAAGAGTTAAGGAAACAGTAAGGGATGTCACGATCAAGATCTTCTGCCCTCAGTAATAACTAGATCAATTTCACATTAAGTACTTAATATTCAGTATTAATTTTAAAGTATTAATATTTTTTCACACACTTCACAGAGTCGAAGAGACTTGATGTTTCACAAACTGTGTTTCATCTCTTCATGTTTACGCCCATATGAAACATGTTCTTGCACAATATATGTGGCAAGATAAGAAAAAGCGACAGAAGATTTATAGCACACACTCACACAACACACCACAACTACAATAATGTTATGAAAATCAACATCATGTTATGAGACTGAGCTATTCAGTCATGGATGGGGTTCCTTTAGTTTTTACACCATGACTTTTTTTTTCCTATAATTATTTTATTTATTTTACCTGAAATATTTACATATGAAGAAAACCTAAAATAATGTTAGCTAGCTAACAGCAACAAGTAGGAAGGTTCTGGTGTTGCTCCAAATAACCAGGGATGCTCACTATGGCTACATTCACAATGAGGCTGATGTGACCCAAATCGAATTTTTGTACCCATATGTGACCCATATCTGACTTTTTCATTTCATTTTGAAAAGTTCAACTTCTGTCTTTTTACCGTCTTTTTACATGAGACGTGTCATAATTCTGCACAAGATCCAGTAAATCCAAATGCAAACAATGTCTGAAAATTAAAATTAAAATGGTGAACTTATGAAAGCAGTCTGCATAAGTGAAGTGCATCACATCCCGATCCCTGTTCAATACCAGTCCAATCCCGATCCTAACCCCAATCCCATCACTCCTGGTCCAACTCTACGTCCAAACAGACTTCTCTTCAAAAGCCGTAGTCTGTGTTTCACAAAAGGCCATTTCTATTAGTTATGGTTTCTTTTTATGAATTTCGTTCGTCTCATCATGATTGTGTGTCAATACTGTCGGCTCCCACTGCTGAATATCTTCAAATTCAGCAATGGGGGCTGAATTTGAAGCTCCCATTCAATGACGGGATTGTCTGTCGATGCCATCGTCCATCGACAACATCATTCACTATCACTTAAATATATAAATTCCATACATAAATTCCATTAGTTTAACTAGAAAATTTTAATCTTGAATATGTGTATTTAGAAATATAATTTCCTATTAAACATACGGAAAGAAAATATTTATATAATTTGTTCCAGGGAGAAGTTGCATCACTAAATCCAGACCTGCAATTGAAAATAAACCAGTTCAGTGAGAGTTGCTTGTGCATTTGCTTCAAAGTGTGAGACAGCAAGAGACAACTTTCCTTCGGTGATGCTGTGCACAGATACTTTGCACTTTTTCTAACATTGTTCCACTTTGATTGTGAGCTTTGCACCGCATTCACAGAAGAAGCAGGGAAACTGTGCAAGTAGCTGCAGCACATGGAGAACATTCTGACACAACAAAGCCGGGGCTGTGAGAGGAACGCAGCGATCTGGCTCAGGTTCTGGATTCTTCACTTGCAAACAACATCGGAGGAATTTATATTCCTATTTGAGGAAGATTGCTGTGTCATGAAACATTTGCAGCTGGAAAAGTCTGTATTCAGATGCATACCTATTCAGAGGTTCCATTGTGTCTCCCTTCCTGCATGCTCATGCTCTCCAGTGTGAGCTCCAGCAGTCTGGTGGACATCCACAACAGTTCTTTTTTTGATTAATGTGGAATCTATCAAGTGTGTCATGAAGTGAAGCAGAGGCATCCATCAAAAACTGAAATCTTAAAAGCTGAAGTAAAATATTTGACTCTGGGAGTTGTGAATGGTACTGGTCCACCACCAGGTTGAGAGTTTCCTCTAAAGTGTGTTGCTCCACCTGACTTCCTTTCAGATTAACTTGTTTTCGGCATTGAAGGTTTTTTTTACAATCAAGAAGAACCTATCTGTTCCACCAGGTTGTCTGACCACATTAATCCGAAGGCGACAACAGGGACTGTAAATGGATGCAGTAAGTTGCTCTGACCTCAATCATTCAACAATGCCTTGATCGAGACCCCAAGGCCAAACTTGTAAGGCCACAATGATGTAAAGATCTTGTTCCTAAATATAATAATCTAAACCACAAACTTACATAGTTTTCCTTTTAGGTGATAAACTTTAGTAATCTAGTTGAACTGTTTGTCAGTTTATTACAGTTCCTCTGAGTTCAGCTCTCAGAAAGCCACATGTCCAGCAGCAACCATACAACTTGACCTTTAAGGTCTTTGTTTTACATTTTTAACAACTCGATTGAACAAATTTGTCCAAGCATGTGTTACTCGACGTAGAAATCATTTCACTTTAAATCAACACACAATGCGAATAGCTGCTTGATACTGCGCATCATCAGTAAGAAACAACTTCTGGTTCGCTCCCACTGGTTTTTAAAGAATCTAGCAAACCTATCAGCCCTTTTCTACAATACAAACAGCCCACTGAAATCTCCTGGACCTGGAGATAACACAACCCCCCTCTGCAGGATCCTTGGGGCGTAAAATTATCTACGATTCTCTGGTGCTTCCTGCAGAGGTTCCTGTTCTCAGGGAAAACACTCTAACAAAGAAAACACACCTCTGAATACTTTCGATGGTGCATGTGTGCAACGCTAACCATCCAGGCGGAAAACACTCATCTAATGTTGATTTTTATTTGCATTTAATTTCACTGCCATGGCTGGAAGTTGTAAAAAATGAATCAGAAACATTCTCTACAGCGCTGTCATTCAGAGAGAGGACAAAGCACAATGCCTGGTCACACAGATGTATTCTCCTGAGTCCGCCCCTGCATGCTCACAGGGTAGCAAGGTGATGGAAACGTCCAGATAAGTGGCTCCTTGTGAACAAGACTCTGCTAAAGCAAACAGAACAGCTCATTTTGCTTTGAGCACGAACACTTCCAACAAGAACTCAAACAAACACTCAAGACGTTCCAGACGTCTAAGAAATTCTATTATTTACGTCGTCTGAGGATTAATCCAGAAAAAACAGGCATAGAGCATTATAGTTTGAATCTCTTTGATATACTTTGGAAGGAGTTTCTGTTTGTTTCAATCAACAGCAATGAACATTTTGACTCAGAATGTGTAATACATAATGAATATTGGCAGCTAATGCTTTAAATCAATGAATTGACTGATTAACCACGTGGTTTATGTAGAAATGGTTCATGTTAATGTAAACTAACATGTTAAAGTTAATGTCATCTTTAACACCAAACATCTTTTATAATCAACTTGATAATGTGAATATTACTCAATAAAAAAGAAAACTGCTTTCAGCCTTTCTTAAAAACACAGCAGTGCACCTTATATTTGTAATAAAAATTCTGCTCATGACGTTCAATTTTGCGCACATCCGTCATCACGCCGATGCTTTTTGGCGCATCTCATTCTGTTGTAATAATCAGAGTAATAAAGAGGAGCACTTCACCTGGACTCTCGCGCTGTGTTGTGGCTCAGGTCAAAACTCTCCGGCGGTCAGAAGGAACACTGGCGGCGCAGGACGACTGCGCCCGGTGAGGGCAGGAAAACCAGGCGGTGCGGATGTTTCCTGTCCAATTGCGGCTCGCGCGCTCTTTCTGGTGAGTGTGTGCGTGCGTGCGTGTTGAGTCGCCTGCGCTGCGCGTGCAGGTGAGAGCGACACCTCGCTTTGATTTCTCTCTCTGTCGTGGAAATCCGCATCCACGCGCTCTGAGGTGGGTTCAGGCTCTTGGTTGTTGTGTTGTGACACTTTTCAACCAACAAGGGAGGGGCCCCTGATGTTGCTCAATGTGCTGTTAACTTGATTTAGAGACCCCACCGCCACCACCCTCCTCCACCAAAAGCCCTTGTGTCAACAGTGCTCCCCACTCGTCAAACAAGAATATACATCAGCTTCAAAACGTCAGAATTAAAGCTGCAGTATGTGATTTATTATTATTATTAGTTTATTAGTTCATCTAGGGCTGCACACTTCAACTGTTACCTTGCAACAAGAAGGTCCTGGGTTCGATTCCCGGCCCGGGGTCTTTCTGCACGGAGTTTGCATGTTCTCCCTGTGCATGCTGGGTTCTCTCCGGGTTCTCCGGCTTCCTCCCACAATCCAAAAACATGCCTGTCAGGTTAATTGGCCTTCCCAAATTCTCCCTGTGCTGTGTGTGTGTGTGTGTGTGTGTCAGTGTGTGTGTGTGTGTGTGTGTGTGTGTCTGTGTGCATGGTTGTTTCTCCTGTTTGTTTCTGTGTTGCCCTGCGACAGACTGGCGACCTGTCCAGGGTGAACCCCGCCTCTTGCCCGGAACGCAGCTGGAGAGGCACCAGCAACTCCTGACCCCGTTAGGGAGAAGGACAATTGTTGATACAGATAAAGGATGGATGGATATTAGTTAATCTGTATCCTTACAGATAAACCACATGATGTGGGCAATATTTCACAGCTGCTCGTCCATTGCTAATATTGTCTAAATTGGAATTACAAAAATTAATTTGGGGCAGATGGCAAAGGTCATCGAGGCGGGACTCGATCTCCTGACTACTGTGTGTAGTCACACCAAATGTGTTTTGCATGTCAATAAACATGGTCAGATGCATCAGAATCGCTCAAGGCAGGAGAGGAGACTCCTTGCCATATGTGTCCTTCAGACTCTTCCACTGTCTCCTCCATATTTCATCTAAATAAATACACAATTTATTTAACGGTCATTATTGTATCCAGAAGCCTGAGTACCCAGAGAAGATCCTCTTACTTGAAGAGAATAATGCAGAAAGACGCCAGATTTGAATTGAAGATCTTCTTGCTGTACACAGCAACTGAAAGACCAAGCAGCCAAATCTGTAGCCAATGTAAACTTTACCTGGTTTTGATTATTTTACATCATAAATTCATTTTTAAAGCAGATGGTTAGTGTTTAACTATTTACATCAAGTTTATTCCTGCCATTTGGAGCCCCATCAGCAGGGTCTTGTGACAGAAATGCAAGTGAACACCATGTCAACTGGTGACATGTTCTGTTGTTTGGCCCAGTCATTCCTCATTTGTGTAACTTTAAGTACACATATGGGTTTACCTCACCAAATGGAGATGCAATTCAGTGGTGTTTGTGCCTCTTGCAGCAGTGTCCTGTCCAGCAGTTGGCTTCCTAGGAAACGCCAAGAACCGGCTCTACACTTCACCGCAGTTCCTTTCCGTGTACGACTCCATCAGTATGGGACTGATTTAAATGGGTCCCAGATTGAGCCCATCTGTGGTTTATGTGTGAGTCCTGTCATTAGACTGACGAGAAACAGTTCCTGGGTGTCTCCTTACAGATAAACCACATGATGTGGGCAATATTTCACAGCAGTCACATCCAGGAATCTTCCAAAAGCATCTGATGACAGTGACACGCTAATAGCTGGTACTTGAGTGTGATGTTCACCAACAATCCCAGCAGTGGAAAATACCCTATTTGTGTGTTTGTTGTGTGTTTAAGAGGTGACGATGACAGGGGAGCTGAAAGGAAGATGAATGTTTCTAAAGAAAAAGGAGCGCTGTGAGGCTCAAGCACCTGCAAATAGCGATTGTGCTTCATGACAAGAGCACAAAGAAGCACACATAGGTATTAATATAATAGATATTTAAACTCAACTTAACAGCACCATTTTCTTTGAGGAGAAAGAAATAAACTTTATGTCAAAATCAGTTAAACACTTTGAGAGAAAAGAATGGTTGGGACATAATTTGGTCCACATGCAGACCAGTCATAGTTATTTTAGCAGTTTGAGTGACAAGAAACTGGAACCTTTGGGTGTCAGGGGACAAAGTACTGGCTGTCCCAGTTTTTTTAGTTTTTCTTAAGAACTGACTTATTTTATACACAATGTGCAAAAGACAGGCAGAAATGACAAAATATTAACAATCATGAATGTGATTGAAACAGCTCCAGTTTCTGACAATCAGTCAAAAGAGTGACCTGGAAACAGGGAAGGTCTCTTGTTTATTTCACACAGCGCTACCAGCACTGGTTGGGGCTGACTTTGGGCTTGCATGAAATCAACTTGTTATATCAAACAAGTGGTCATCACATGCTGCCTCCTCTTCACAGCAGGGTGTCCTCACACGACTACTGGCTCCAAAATGCAATCTGACTTTCCCCTACACTGACTGGTTCTTCTCCGATGTCATCCAGGCAGTGTCCCCCGTTGGGAAGTTGACTTGTGAAAAGCCAACATAGCTGGTGTCTCATTCATCATACTGCAAAACTTTCTTGTGAAATGTCAATAAAGTAAGGTGGATCCTGTTCTGAATAGGGAGCTAACAAAGACCTCACACATGCTGTTTTATGAACAATTACTTGCTCTAATTTCCATCGAGCTGAATGAAAGCAGAAGTATCTCCAGATGTTGTGAGAACTACAAAACCCTTTCAAGGTCTGAAAGCAACAGTTGAAAACTTTACTGAGCAAATAAGAAACATGACATGGAACCATTTTGATATTTCACTAAAAACTTGGTTGATTGGTACATTCCTTTGATTTAGAGGCACCAGTTTGTGTTCGATATATAAGGAAAGAAGTGAATGTCTGAAGTTCTTTGACACTGTAATAAACTCTGACTTTACTGTTTATAACACTTTACACAATCAGCTATAAGTGAGTATGATTTATCAGTATTGCATACATTTGCATGAGAATTCATGCAAAATTTAGTAAAAGGAAAAAAAAAACATGATATTTTTGATTCATTGAATGTGAGTTAAACCAAAGCCGTTGCCTGTTTACACATCTTCCTGCCACTGAAGCTGCAACAGCACTCTCTCACATGTGCAGAGGGACGTCAGACAGGGGGTCTTTGTGCTGGTTCAGGGTGGAGTTCAGTGGAATTTGGTTAAAAAGACATGAGCGAACACAAACACTGCGACTTCAACGAGCTGCAGCCCCACCTAAACCCACCTTAATTACTCCGAGTAGCCATTCACAATTCATGATGTGAAAGAGCTCAGTGAACATGAAGTATTTCAGGGTTTCTATGTGTGTCTTATTTCCTCCTTTGTCAGCTATTTAACTGCGTGCTCAACTCTGGACTCTGTCTAAATCTCAAAAATTACAATATTGTGAAAAGATCAAAGTTTTTTTATGACGTATTTTGGAAAATAAAAGTCAAATATATAGATATTTACAAAGAGCGAAATATTTAAACCCTTCATTTTTGGAATTTTACTGATTTTAGTTTACACTGTATACACACACACACCTACACACACACACACACACACACGTACACACACACACACCCACACACACACACACACACATGCACACACACAGTGGAATACTGAAATCCACCACTGTTGATGTATTTCACCTTTTCATGCTGTTAAATTAATATTTGTAGTATGAAAAAAGACCCTTATTGCAAAACTTCACTTCTACATGTCTGTCATCAGAACCTTCAGCACCTCCTGAACACATATCAAACTGATGTGCCAATGATGCCATTCCTTGTGAATGATTAGGCAGAATTGATTATGGTCATTTTCTCCTACTATTGGTCATTGTTTTATTTCTGATTTTATTTCTGGGAGCAAGACTTTCACCTGACAGCAAAACGGATGGGTTGGACAGCACGCTGATACAAGAGCGTCTATTTTCCCACACATCAGGATGTATACATTTGATAGAATATGATGCTGATGTATAGATTTTGCTTTATGCTAAACTTTTACAGAGTAAATCTGGAGAAGCACAAGTACTTGGATGGAGAAGTGGTCTCTGTGCTTGATAATGAGATTGCAGAGCCAAATATGTCCAGTTGGGCATCACCATGCATTCTGATCCCTAAATCTGACAGTTCCCCTCATTTTTGCTCAGATTTTCACAAACGTAATGCTATGACAAAACCAGACTGTTTCATCAATGGTGGTGCGTTTAATAAATTTGCTATGTAAAGATTTAAAGTATGAGTGTAATATTTAGTTGCACCACATCTTAAACACCTATTTCAGCTTTACGTGGACGCCAGCCATGTGGGCTCTGGAGCTGTTCTTAAATATGTGGATGATCTGGGTAATGGTAAGCTGGTGAGCTCTTTGTCAAATAAGTTTAGTGAGCACCAGTTAAACCCTGTCTCATACCATACTGTCACGACATAAGAGTTTTAACAACTGTGTAAAAAACTGAAAGTTACATACCGCAGCTTTAAAATGTTGTGATTTAATGAGACCTGCCCTGGAACTGTAATAATCCAGAGTAATTTGCTAATGGTGTCCATTATTTGATCAACTTAACTCATTATTTGATTCATAGAATAAAGAGCCATGTCGTTCAGTCCTGGACACAATGTGGAGACTAGCTTGAGAAAAGACTGAATCAGTCTTCTGTCAGAAGTAAAGCACAAAAAGGTCTTCTCCTGTTTGTCCCCCCTCCCTGCTCTTCTCCCTCTCTTCAGCTCACCTCCATTACAACCACACGTACTGGCTTGTATGCATGTACATAACATGAGCTGAATATAGAACGCTCTGTTTTGCACCACATGCGTGCAGGGAGCACACTCTCATGTGGCTTTCTAAGAAACCAGCCTCTGTACAGCTTATGGACGCTGGAGAAGGTAAATATTTCCTCTTATTCCCCCAGCAGTACCCCATGCTGGTAGATGGACTTAGCCTAGAGAGGAGGCATGAAAGAGGAGCTCTGATTAAGAGGCAGAAGTCGGATCGATAGGAAAGCTGATTAAAGATC